CAGGCACTCCTATTATTACTTTGACTTAACCTTGAACACACTGTGGTGAGGTTCACATGCAAAGCCCGAGGACAACTCCCACCGCTACCCTAGCCCTGTTCGTGGTGTCTAGAGAGCTTCCAGATGGAACTACAGGCAGCAGAACTCAGAGACGAAGGAGAAACAAAGTCAGCCCCTTATGTGTCTAGGAGGCTGTAATGTGATGCTTGGTTTTGTGACACAGTTGGGATTCCTTCGTTGGGTTTGAGAGGCAATTTCTGAATAATTTATTATGATCTGAAACCAAAGAACAGCAAACAGTGCTTGCTAATTGTTCCTCCTTCCATGGAGTATAAATTGATTCAGGGGAAAAATCATTTTAGGTATAAATTACCAAACTTCTGAAAATGGTTTGAAATAATTTAAGATCATGTAATGCATTTCTAAGTGCAACTGTGTGCATAAAGCTATAAATTGCTAACTGAAAATTTCAAGGTAGAATTTTAAAATTGCAATGAGAAAATGCTCTAGTTTATCTTCTGTGACTTTTCCTTCATGGAGAAGGCATCTACTTGCTGTGTTTTCTTCTACATAACTAGTTCTCAAGGTGGAGCTTATTGGCAGCTCAAACAAGCCAGTTTCTGATCATCATCTACAGGAGAGAAGGTCACCTTTCCCTTGAGCATGTGTGTGCAACAAGTCACTGAGAGCTGCCTCCTGGTCTCAGTGTTCAACCTTCTCCCAAATAGGATAAGACTCAGCAAGAGTAGCACCTGTCCAGAAACACTGGCTACTTCCTATAGGGTTGTTCTCATGGGATGACAGCTGTATGTTCTTGTTGGCTCCATTATGCCATCCTGGTTGTTAAATACTTAAGAATATTACTTTTGCTATAGCATTGCATTTTCTTTGGATGCAAGTGACCCAAGAGACTCTCAAGACTCAAGATGTAATCTCAGCTGCAAGGTTGATTTAGGATGGACCGTGATCTTAGCTGGACTAATCAGGACTCTCCAACAGTGGTTGGGAAGTTGAAGTCGTAACTCTATTTCTCAAGGATTTGTTGAAGTAATCACATGAGGGTGAACAAGAATAGTGACTACTATTCTTTAATGACGTGAGGTGTGTACAAAGTGGAAGTCTGAAGTTATTTTGTCAACATGAGAAGAGTCTGAGGTGGGGGGTTGGGGATTTAGCTCAGTGGTCAAGCGCAAGGCCCTGGGTTCGATCCTCAGCTCCAGAAAAAAAAGAGAAGAGTCTGAGGGAAAACCAGAGAGAGCCAGGGACCCAGAGGACAGAGCCTAGAGTACAATAGTCAATTGTAAGCAGAGTCCAGTACAAACTGCATGTGAAATTCACCTTGCCTCTGAGCTTTATAATTTTATAATTACTCAACAATGTAACTTTGTGCAACAAAATTAACTCCAGCTGATAGATGAGGATATCACCAGGGGTGGTGGTGATACTACTATCCAAATTGTGTCTTTGGAGGTGCAACAATTTCATAGTGATGACATGCAATTTGAAAAGTGACTATTATTTCCCAGTCACTTTACATTGTTATGAAATTCAAGGTTCAAAGCAGTTTTATGAAAGTTATCTCATTTATCAGAGAAGCCAAGTAAGGTTCTGGAGAGAATGTACTTCCAAGATCATCTGGCCAGATGATTAAACTAGTATTGAAATCTAGGACACAGCTGGCCGATACCCGCAACCCCCCGTGCTGTGCCACCTCTCAGCACATTGAGTGCTGTAGCTGAATGGCTGGAGGAGGAGCCTGCCTGCCACACCATTGAGTTTCTGATTTCATTTAAGAGGGCAACAGATACGTCACAGCATAGATGCCTAAGAAGGTGCTGAATCTTATACATCTTAGGAAAGGTGTACTAAATGCTCATAAAGCAACCTATCTCAGATAATTCTGGACCATTTGCAAAGCCCTCTGAGGCCATCCGTTGCTCTCTTTATTGTGCCCTGAGCTTATTTAAGAACTCTGTCTCCTTTATAAGACATCTGACAAATGTGAGCTAAATTTTAGCCGTTTTTACGTTGATGAAGTTATTGAAGTGGGGTGGCGGTGAGGAACTCAGAGGAGGGAACACTCCCATAAGGATACCGAGGAGGTACAGGAAGTAGGCTGTAAAAGCATGTAGCAGAAAAAGTTGGCCATAGCTCCAAGGGTTTTTTTCAGTGGGCGCCTTCTCAAAGGAATGTTACAATGTGAAGGGACACTTAAGAGTTCAGATAAAGATGTGGATTCAGACAGCCACGACTGTGATAGAGAGTGTGATTTAGAGATGATGTTTATGTGTGAGATCTCCCTTGACTGGTGTGAAGGAACAAGGAGCAGAGACAGAGGGCTATGTCAAGTATAGGAAGCATGATTGAAGAGGTGGAAAATTACCAAGGAGTATGGGCCAAGGGAAAGCTGAAAAACATGTTTGTTCTTTCTCCAGAGTGCTTCAGTTCTTCTGTAATCTGAATTTACCAGGTCATATTCCTCTGGGACTAAAACAAAGAACAGCAGGCCAGAAACTTTTCTGGTTCAGCTTTTTCTCATGTGTATCAGAGCAAGTGGCATGACTGCTTCTGCCTTGGTCATGGAGCTTGTGCCTGGGCCCAAGATGCTCCATTCAAGAGGCACATGAGTTAGGTTTCTGTTTGGACACAGGCTGGTCTGTGTCAGCTTGGTGGTATGAAGTCGGCTCTCAATAATGAAGTGAAGTAGAAGAAGGTCTTTCTATAGTATTTACCAAGTCAAACCAAGTGACTGATTTGACTTTTGAAAGGAGTCCAACTTTTTGCATTCTGCCCTTAGAGACAGTGTGTCACTATATAACTCAGACTAACCTAGAACTCGCTAGCCCAAGCTGGCTTCAGATTGATGATCTTCCTGTCTCTGCCCACAAAGTGCTGGGATTGAAGACCTGAGTCACCACAACCCGTTACAACTTCATAAAATACATTTTTCAGGTTATAGTTCAAAATCCTTTCTACTGACAGGCTTTATCCCCCTCCCCCCACCTCCTTCCACTATAGTCCAGCCAAAGCTAAACACTGATTCCCTATTTCTTTAACATCTATCATTGTTTCAAACTCATGTCTAGGAATCACATTTCTTAAAATTTAATCTGCAGAACACCACCCCCTTGAGTTCCTAGGATGTCACCACTGGGCATGAACCCCAGGACATTTGTACTGTGTTATGTCTGAGATGCACACATTGATAATCCTATGAAGTTAGAAAGTGCTGTACCATATTTTTACTTCATGGTTGGGGTAGAATTGTATTTTCAAAAATTCTACTGTGTAGATCTTTTCACGCATGTTAAACCAGACTGCGGCAACATCAGCCACAATAGGTGCAGTGATTGAATTTGCGATATTTGAGTTTCTGTGGTTTGTTACAAAAATATTCTAGTATCACCTCAAAAAAACAGGAATTAGAACCCCAAATTATCTTGTGTGTTATTTTATGCTGATGCAAGTAATCATAGTGAGGATAGATGACTTGGTTGAAATTTTAGAACCCAATAGCTCACCGAGATTAAGAGCCAAACCTCTCACCTGGCTCTATGCTTTATGTCATATTTAATATCTCTGTGCTATATATTCTAGGGGAACTTTCTTAGAAAGTGTTTTCATATGTCTCTTTGAATAAATACATTAAAATGAAAACATAATACTCATAAACTCAAAGTGGCTTTGGATACCTGCAAAAAAATCAAGCCAGCCAATGGTGGAGGAATTCATGAGGTTTCACCCCTTACTAAGAAACTCCTGGCAGTTGATTATATGCAGGGAAAGGGAGATCATTCTTTTTGAGGGGTGTGGCCATTGGTAGGTTGCCCATGCCCCAGTGGGTGCTCCTATACCACCCCACATTCATGCATCACTAATCAGATTTAGTGGTTTATTTTAAAGAAATAAAAAGAGGACATAAAGTTAGGAGGGGATTGTTACAAAGAATCTGGGGAGGTTAAAGGAGAGAAATAAATAGGAGAGAATATAATTCATAGTTCATTGTCTACAGGTATGAAATTCTCAAAGAATAAATTCTTTTAAGATATAATATTGAAGGAATACTAAAATAGAGTGTAAAATGTCTCATTTTCTAACTCAAATTGAACTCAGTTCCCATTTAGAAAGATCCCAGTGATATGCCAGTTTAATCCTTGACATTGGCTTTCTAAAGACTCCAGATACCAAATATTTTTAGATTTTTCAACGGGTTCCAAGAATCACACGTGTAAAAAGTCAGATGATAACTCACAGCAAAGTCAGTGTGGCTAAGCAAGAAAAGCTATGTAGAAATAGCCTCACACAGGCAGCCAGGTATGTGTGGAAACACACAACAATTAAGTAGCACATTCTTGGACAAATGCTTAAGACCAACTGTGAATGGGAAAGACTGGAATTCCAACATGTTGCTACCTACCCATCGGTCACACATTCTCAAACAGCCTTGGCACACACTAAACAGAGACCATAGCTACTTCACTATGCCTAAGAACATTGGCCAGTAGCAGTGCTCTGACAGATTTTGAAATGGCTTCCTTGGAGACTTCCAGATGTCATCATTCTTGGTATAGAAGGCTGACTTTACATACTCAAAGACAAAGGTGATGATTTTACATTTTAAGAAAGAAACCTTAAAATCACTTATAAAATGTATTTAGGATATAAAATCTTAGCTTCTACGAGCTCAAAAAGTTATGTTCTCAGTTATTCAAGAATATCTTGGGCAAGGGCTGTGAATCAGTTACTAGAGTGCTTGCCTAGTATTCATGAAAGCCTGGCTTGATTCTCAGGACCTCATGAAGCCCTCTGTGGTAGCACATTCCAGCACTAGGAGTTCATGCTCATCCTCAGATATATAGTAAGTTCAAAACCTACCTAAAATACATGAAACCCTATCTTAAAAATGTCTATATAAATTTTATAATCAACATGTCCATTTATGCACACACATATATTCCAAGAACCTGAGGATTTTTATTGATATTGCATCAAATCTATACATTACAATAGAAAAATTCTTTCCACAGTCTCAAATCTTGCAGTTGGTAAACACGATGACAGGGTATATCTTCTTCTCCAGTTACTTAGAACTTGTTAATACATCTGTGGTGGTTATTGATTTCTGTGCAGTTATCTTGCACTCTGTGGATCTATTTCCAAATCTTCTTATGCTGTTTCAAAAGAACATTTTTTAATTTTAACATTCTAAATATTTGCTGCTATTATTAAACATAGGATTAAACATTGCTGATACTGATTTTGTATCTTGATAAAGTAACTTGGCAATATTTAAAAAGTTGGTCAAAAATTCTCCTAGAATTTTCTCTATTTAATGTCATGACATCTGGAATCCACATAGTAGATCTTTATTGTTTTTCATTATTTTATTACATTCGTAAGAACTTCAGAATTAAAGTCAGGGTCTTATGCTGGTCTTGTGCAAGTCTTGTGCATGCAGGACAAATACTCTTCCACTGAGCTGTTGCCCAAGCCTGGAAAATAACTTTTACGTATAGATACATAGAGAAAATAAGTCATGGGATTGTTTTTCATTCATGTAGGGATATTTGCAAGGAAGAGTACTAGACTCTCACAGCATTGCCCAGATAGCCTAATCCTAGGTTCTGTTTGGGCTCATGGCCCTCATGAGTAGCAGACTCAGCAGCATTGGTGCCACTATACAGGGCAGATGAAACATGGTTTAATCACAGTGTTTTGGTTCAGATATTGAGTGAGTATATTTCTTAAAGCTTCATGTGATAAAAATTTAATTAACATTGTGAAGAATCAAAAAAGTGAAACCTTAGACTGACTGTGATGCTTAGAGGTAAGACTTTGGGGAGGTAATTAAGTAAGGTCGTTTTGGTGGTATCCAATTATTGAATTATGTGGCTTTATAAAGACAGGGAGAGACATCAGAAGACACACACACACACACACACACACACACACACACACATGTATGATTTCTATGTCTGCCATGCAATGCCTTGAGTCACCCTGGAACTTTACTAGTATGAAAGACATCACTAGATGCGACTCCCCCCCCTCAACTTAACAAGGCCAGAGCTGTGAGCTAATGTTTGCTTTGTAACTCACCTAACTAGTCATAATGTGGTATTAGCAATAAAAAGTGGATTAAGACAGTCCTGACAAACTGATATATATTTTTTTTCTTAGAAAAACTTCACAGGGCTGTTGTGGAATATTAGTTTAGCTATGTAAAGATGTATTGCATTTGTTTATGTTGCAGAATAATTATTTATCTATGTAAAGATGTGTTACTTTTTACCCTGCCTGCCTAAGGCATCTGATGGGTTTAATAAAAAGCAGAATGGCCAATAGCTATGCAGAGGAAGGATAGATGAGGGTGGCAGGCAGAAAGAAAAGAAGAGCTAGCCAGGCTGCCAGGGGCCAGCCCACTGGAGACAAGCCAGCCGATATAAAGGAATCGGGAAAGCAAGATGGACAATACATAGATGAGGTAAACAAGCCTCAGGGAAACACATAGATTTATAGAAATGAGTTATTCTAAGATAAAAAAAAAACTAACTAGAAACATGCCTAAGCTAAGGCCAAGCATTCATAATGAATAATAAGTGTCCATGTCATGATTTGGGGGTTGGCAGTCTGAGAAAACCTGCTACAGAGGGCTTTCCTGCTGAACTTGGCTTTATCACATTGTAAGCCATCAAACATAAACTGACATTGTGATCAGCCATTTGATAATAGGCAAAATGATTCCCAGAAGCACTGATATGCTTAAAGCTAAAAACAGAGGTAGCAGAGAATGCAGGATTCTCACATCTCAGAAAATCAAGACTTTTTACCCAAATTCTTTTTTCATAGAGGTTTCAAGATTTTCTTCAGAAAGATGTAAAATTATCCACATCTGTGTGTGGTGATATTGTGTTCCCAAAATATTGTGCACCCTAATAAATTTATCTGGGATCAGAGAACAGAAAAGCCACTAGATATAGAGGCCAGAAAATGGTTGCACACATGCCTTTAATCCTAGCATTCCAGAGGCAGAGATCTGTCCGGATCTCTGTGAGTTCAAAGCCACACTGGAAACAGCTAGGCATGGTAATAAGAGCCTTTAATCCCAGGGAGTGATTGCAGGAAGCAGAAAGGTATTTAAGGTGTAAGGACAAGGAACTAGAGCCTGGTTAAGCTTTTAGGCTTTTAAGCAGCACAGTTCAGCTGAGAGGCATCCAGTCTGAGGAAACAGGATCAGCTGAGGAATTGGAAGGTGAGGTAGCTGTGGCTTGTTATGCTTCTCTGATCTTCCAGCATTCACCCTAATAACTGGCTCCAGGTTTGTTTTTATTAATAAGACCTGTTAAGATTCATGCTACATCTGTGAACTTGCAAAGTCAATAATTTATTGTTAATTACAGTGCTATTTAGTAAGTCTTGATACACAGTCATAGAGTTGGGAGAGGATTTAGAAAAGGCCCCAGGAGTGACAGCCTAAGAACAGCAGAGGGTGGTAGGGTTAGTTGGTCCAAAAGGGCCCTGAGACCTTCCTTAGGGATCCATCAATATCTCAGTTTTCTTTGTTTCTTCTCTGACTCATTTTCTTTCCCAGCCAAGAGACAATTAATCTAGCCTCCAGAATAGAAGACGTGTGCCCTCAGAGTCACCATACAACCTTTGGAGCACACTTTTTATATTCTGAGTTCTTCCCTATACTCTCTTGAGAGACAGGCAGCTGATAACCAAAGCCCCAAGATTTACTCCGGTCTCCATTACATCATCCCTCCCCTCAGCTAATGAATTACTATGACTGAAATGGTAGGAAAGCAAAAAATTAGAGTGAAATGTTAAGTAGAAAACCTCAAATCACATTTCAAAATATCAGCCTTGCCAATTTATTTAGAGTTCCAAAGATAAAAATGGTTCAGGAATAAATATCATCAAGTCATGAGCAAATAAATGATGTGCTGAAATAAAATGTGGTAAATACTTATCGTAAATGCTCTAAAATTAATGAAGTCACTTTATCTAATAGTTCATTTATTACAGGGAAATGAATGTGTCAAAGTTTCTCTTCCTCTGTCAAATTAAGTTTTCTAAGGACTATTTATATGTACTTCATATGACACTACCTTGGGCACATTAGTGAGGAATACAAGAAGAGTTTTGAATGAGTACTTGGCAAGTTTTTAGAATTATTATAAAATTATCTCAGACTGACTGTACACACTGTTCTTAAAGTGTTACATTAAATATAGAAAAATAGAAAAATGAATGATAAAGGTATATGTTACATAATGTACATTCCTTTTTGAGTATGCTCACATGTAAATAGTTTTCATGGTTTAAAAATTATTTTAAAATAATTCATGTCTAGATAAATTTGTAGAAAAAATTTATTTCTCTCATGGAGGTTATTGGAAACCAACAAAAGTAAAAAGTAATATTCAAGCCTGGTAAACTCCTGCTCCTCTGTGCTCTTCTCATTAGCTATCACCAAGCTCTCAAGGTCATCCCTTCCTGTCACACACTGAGCTATAAGCGCCACTGTGAGGGGCTACTTTATTGGCGATGCTGTTCGAGTGTTATCTACTCTGAGTATTCTAGCCTGCAACCATCAAGGATCTGAAAACTGTGAGAAGATCTCCCTTTTCCTCCTCTCCTTTCCACCCTTTCTTCCATTATGTACAATGCAACCAGCAATTCATCTCCCTTAACAAGTAATTTACTTTTGATTGACACATAATCATACACACTTATGGGTACTAAGTGACATTTCAACAGATGAACGTAATGTATAATGATCATACCAGGGTCATTGATTTATCAGTCACTGCAAAAATACTTCTTCATGTTGAAAATACTCAACAGCCTCTCTACTAGCTATTTTGAGCTATTTAATGAATGTTTGTCAAACTTAGTTTTTCTGGAGTGTTCTTCTTATTCACCTATACCCCTGTATCACTGTCATTCCTCTCAACCCTTTCTCACCTTCCCCAGGCTCTGATAACCACTACTTGATTTAATTCTTTAAAATCGATAGCTGAGTCTCCACATGGAAGTAAACACATGCAATTTGGTTTCTCTGCCGTTAGTTCCCTGAGCATGCTAGTTTCATCCACATTACTGCAGGTGAGCTCATTTAAATGGACTTAATGACTGAATAGTATCTGTACTACATTTCCCATATCTATTCACTTATTGTTGGATACCTAAGTTGATACCATTTCTTGGCATGGTTAACAGTGTTACAACAAATATTTATATGCGACCATCTTTCCCCTATTCTGTTTTGAGTTCCATTAGCTATCTACCCAGCAGTATATAAATCTTTCTAAATAGGGATTGGGACAATGACACTTCCTTACTTAAGACAGGTTTTTGTTGCATCTCACTGCAACCCACTGGTAAAACACCAAGCCTTGTCTTTTTCACTCAAAGAAGAATTAGGTGTTCTTATATACTTATACTCTTCTTAGAGTCAAGAGTAATTAGACTTTCTCTTTTTCTGCATAGGAAAAAAAATTGTGTTGGGTTGTGTTTGTTTATTATTATGTTTCCATGCCTGGGTATAAGTGCTAATGATTTTTGTTAAATAATGGCAAATTGAACAAATGAGTAGGATTTTGTTAGTTAGTGTTTGGGGGGGTGGAGGGTGAGAGGCTGCACCCCTCCCTGATGTGGAACAGCACTAGAGGAAGCAGGCTCTTTTCATCCTAATCATAATCCTTCATGCAAAGCTGACCTCTGACAGGTTAGAAAAGAAATCACAGATTAAAGTTGCAGAGTCATATCTTTAAAATGTAAATAGAAATTTCTAAAGAACAATTATGAAATAATATATCCTTTCTTGTTATCCCTGAAAAAGCATACAGTGGCCCAAGTGCTAAGCCCAATTATGTCTTCCTGAAGCTTACCCACCTGCTTGCCTTGAGAATGCTTACTTACTATTTTAGTGGGTAGCTGTTCCAGCTTTGATGCGGAAGTACTACCCCAGTGAGGCTTCCGGTAACTGTCATGCCTACCTATGGCCTGCCCCCGAGGCAGGGCCGAGAATGGAGCCCTTAAGACCCAAGATCCGGATGTGCTGGCTCTCTTGGTTCCTGGTGATCCTGGATGCTGGATAGTAGACCGAGCATAGTTCTCCAGAGAACACCACTGGACTGCATTTCACCTCTACCAGATGCAGATCCTGTAACCTATCCCTTTACTTGTTGTAAGTTACCCCCAAATAAACCTGCCTTTTAACTACATAGAGTTGCCTTAATCAATCCCCCAATATACTATGAACTTTAATTCCTTTAAATGGAGCTCTGACTGCTGAAGACCTCGACTTAATAGGCTTTGGGAAGAGCTCCTGCCTGGTCTTTCCCTAACCTGCTGCAGAGCAACCCCTTGGCTCACCGGAGGCACACAAGAGATCTTGTCTACACTGAGCAAGGCAACTTGGGTACTTGTGATTATGTATCTTTCTATTGAAAATAAAATTTTCACTATCTAGACACTTCTGTCATTTCTTTTTAGAAAAACATTAATGAAGTCCTGTTTAGCATCTTATGACTTCAAACCAATACTTTGGCTGAGAGACATAAAAAAAAAAAAAACTTTCTATCTTTCTCTTTTAGCAGCTAGAGTGAGTGGGATTATGTGCTTTTCTTCCTTTTCATCCAGATCTCTGAGATCTGAGGAAACGTGTGAGGCTTCATCAGAGCATAATTCTGAAATCATATAGAAAGAACAACATCACAGTTTCAAGTGTGTCTATGAGTAACTTCTTCATAGTCATCTCAGAATCTTAGCTCCTGAGGAGACAAGGTTGTCCCTTCAATATGTGGTAACATCTCCACTTCAGATGTAAGCAGGGAAGACACCTGCCCCAGGTGGGATAAGCAACTGTAAACTCTTTAGTTAGAAATCCTGGTGACAACTGTTACCACATGGGGCTCAGGAAAGGACTCTCTATATGCACAAGACTTTACTGCTTAGAATGTCACTCATGTAAATACCACTGTCCAGAAATTAGCAGTCAGAGTTTTACAAAAAGTACATGACAATCTTTTTCAGTTTTTAATTTTATTCTAGGTTTTAAGATTTTTAAACATGTATTTGCGTTAGTCTATATGTACAGGCCCACAGAGGCCATAAGAAGGCCCGGAAGCCCCTGGAGCTGGAGTTTGAGGAGGTTTCAAGTCATCCTCTGTGGGTGCTGGGAGTTGAACTCAGGTCTTCTGGAAGAGCAGAAATGCTCTTAAAAGCTCAGTGTTTTGTTTTTGTTTTTAAATACATATATTTTAAATACCTATGGTATTTAAATGCCTATGGCACTTAAAATATTTAAATAACTATGCTATTAAATACCTCTGGTATTTAAAATACTGATCCTCCAGGAAAGGAAGAAAACAAACCTACAAACCAACAGGAAATAATCAAGAAAGGGAACCCAGGTGAAGATACTTAAGTTAAATCTCAAGCACAGGGGTCAAAAAAAAAAAAAAGAAGCTCATTTGCAGGAGAAGAGACAAAAGACAAACCTGGAGCAGGGAGAGATTCCCAGGGAGAAAAACAAAACAGCAGCGGGTTCCAGAGCACACTGGATACCACCGCCATGCTCTCCTCAGTTGGTCCCCTCTGCATTCTACCATCAGATTTTGGTTTCAATTCAAGCTGCCTCTTTTAAGCTGTTTTCATCCTGGATGGAACCATTTCTCTGTGTAGCTTCAGATGGTGCTTCTGTCCTTGAAGCATTTCCTGAGGTCTGATTTCAACTGTTCCGATCCCAGGTGCCCTTAATGCCAACCATTAATCAAACTTGTACATCCTTGTCTCCCATAGAGAGCCAGACAGTTTGTTTACGCTTGTCTGGAAGGACTCGCTGTAATGATAAGGCTGAGCTTTGATTGCCTCCCAAATGTGTAATCATGCCTTCCACAGTCCACAGCACAGAACAGCAAGTCTAAATTAAAAAGAACCATACAATACTATAACAAATTCCTAATCTGTAGTTTTAAAGATTTGTATAAAAGCCCCAGAGAATTAGCTAATCTTAAGAGATTGAATGACTTCTCCTAGAAATTTGGCATATTTGCAACACATTGCTGTTAATTTTCCACTTAATTGGCTTTAGAGTTGCTAGCCCATCTATTTATAGTTAATGGCTTGCTCTGTGTGCATCCACAGCTGTCTTCTCTTTGTATAAAAGTGGGCTTTCTTACCTTTACATGGGTAGCTAGCTGTGAGAGACACATGTAGGCAATAGCCACTTTATCACTGGTTCATGACCAAGGTACCCAGTAACCTACCTGGGATAGGAACACGTTTTTGATTTTGGTTTGTTTGTTTGTTTTTTGATTATGATACTCCTCCTGGCAAGTTGGTTTATTTAATCCTGCTTTGGATATCTTGATTATGGTCCTCAGTAGATCAAAGTATTTTTAGAACAGTTTGTTATCCCATAGTATACCTGGAACAACACACAGATTTACAGCCACTTGGTGAGTAATTAAAGCTTGTGGAGTGAAAACAGATTTTTTTCCTAAGTACAGAAGAAGCAGTAAATTAATGAGACTGAGCCCTCTGAACCTTTCCATCCTAAGTTCTTGCTTTAATATTTAGCCCAGAGTCATTTTTCACAGATACAGCAATTCACATTGAGAGGAAATTAATAATCTTGAGAGAGCTAGGCAAAAATTTCTTTTAGAAAGGAGAATATGCAATTGATTTTTTTCCACATGCTGAAAACACAAGTCTACACCAAAATGCTTTGGGGCTTTAACTGCAGCAGGGTTCCCAAGAGGCACAAAAGGTAATGAAACTTTCCTGCTCCAAAGCGGGTAGAAAGGTGGCCTTGCGCCTTGCCTCTCCCTCTTCACAGTGTGTGTTTGTGACTATATTGAATTTACTAGCCTTCAAACTACTTATTAATTGTTTTGTTTTATTACAGGTAGAAAAAAAGGGCCAAACAGAATAATCGATGCACTCAAAAGGTTGACGAGGTTCTTGACCCCAAATGATTCAGGAGATTTTTGATAAATGTTTCTTACTTATCAACACATAAAAACTAACATACTCTCTCCTAGTGAACATTCTTCTTCCTTGAAAAGACCTTTTAATCGAGAAGAAGTAGCCAGTGTCTTCTGTGGGGTTTCAGAATCACAGAATCATTCCTAGGCACATCAACATTCCACTCCAGGAAATGGAATTCCAAAATGGCAAGAGTGGCCTCTTGGAGGAGATCAGAGAACAAATCACCACCCAGTTTACTGTTCAGTTGCTTTATAATTTATAAAAAGTATATACTTTTATTCAGTAATGAGTAGATGAGAAATGTGTCAAAATTAGATATAAGTGAATATGATTTTTGTGCATTACCTGAGTAATTTTTTTTTACTTATAAGTCATGTTGTTTCTGCCTATTCTCTATAGAAAAAAGCATCTGTAGCTACTGAGGGGACACATATTTACAATATCTTGTTTTAATCTTAATCATCACCTATTACTATTCCAATGTTGATATGGCATTTTTTTTTAGAGATTTCTCTCTCTTGTAGAGGGTGTTTGCTGGAAGATGGTACAGATAGAAAAACAACAGTGAGTTTCAAGTAAAGACTGAATTGCCTAAGATTCAAGATTACAATTTGTATAGTGAATTAAAGCGTCTAGGATTCTTCTAGAACATTTATAGATATATGTTAAATTGCTTTTTCACTTTTCATGTATTCTTTTTACACTATGTATGAGTGCCAAGCAGAGATGCTCAAAATTCCCTTCCGGTTAAGTCTCTGAGGACATGACAAGCATGGCTTCCAATGAAGAAAGCACAGTGAAGAAGATGGAGCTGCTTTTCAGCTAATGGGACTAAAGAAAATCAATTCCAGTCCCATGACACAGGGTTCCATGACACAGGGTAATCTACCATTGCTACATCTAAAAATATTAAGACAGAGACCATATAAATATACACAAGGTAGCAAAACATTCATAGCTTCAAGGCAGCTGAAGATGTGGCTCCAAGTCAACCCCCTGCATAAGCCAAGATTCCCCCAAACAAAAGCTGGATGCAGCAGATGAAGTATCTGTAATCCTAGCACCCACTACCAGGAGATGAGAAGCTGAAACAGGAGTGTCTATAGATGCTACATCCTCTTTCTTCTGATTTGCTTCTGAGATGTACACAGCACAGTAGAGGACTGAGGGATTCAATACAGTCCCTGATTCCTTCATGAAGAAAGTTTTGCTGTGACCAATGCATTGACCTAAGCACAGAGTTAGGAATATACTTGATTGGCATTCTGGTACCATCGCCTATGTGATGTGGCAGACAGATCACAGTGTGCAAACCTCACAGTTGGTGTTGTCCTTGAGCTAGTGAGGCGAAACAAAGTTAGATTCTGGAGTTTCTTCTTAGATCCAGGTCTCTAGACCCTCATCGCCACATTAGACTCTTACAAAAACAAAAGAGGAATATATTATTTCAGAGAAACCATGACTTTGATTGATTTTTGTTGTTGTTTTGTACAAGATTATCTTGGCTAATACAGACTGTTAAGAATAACAAGACTCTAACCTGCAAAGACAATAAATAGTACGGTCTAGTAATCTATAAACTAAAGTTTTAAGAATTTCAAAAAGTGGAAACAGAGGCAAACATAAAGAGAGAATTTTAAATCATAAATCAGTGAAAGGTAAAACTGTTGTGGAATATTATTTCAAGATGTTTTACATTTGTTTATGCTGTGGAACATCTGTTTAATGATGCAAAAATACTTTGCATTCTTTTATGTTCATTTGTTTAATGCTGTGAAGCTGCATTACTTTGCCTGTCTAAAGCACCAGATTGGCCTAATAAAGAGATGAATGCCAATAGCTAGGCAGGAGAAATGATAGGCACAGCTGGCAGGCAGAAAGAATAAATAGGAGGAGAAATCTGGGAAAAAAGATTGAAGGAACAAGAAAAGGAGGAGAGGAGGATATCAAGGGCCGGCCACTCAGCTACACAACCAGCAATGTAGAAAGAAAGAAAGAAAGAAAGAAAGAAAGAAAGAAAGAAAGAAAGAAAGAAAGAAAGAGAGAGAAAGAGAGAGAAAGAGAGGAAGGAAGGAAGGAAGGAAGGAGGGAAGGAGGGAGGGAGGGAGGGAGGGAAGGAAGGAAGGAAGGAAGGAAGGAAGGAAGGAAGGAAGGAAGGAAGGAAGGAAGGAAGGAAAGGAGGTAAGTATATAGAGTAAAGAAAGATAAAAATCACAGAGGCAAAAGGTATACACTGGATAATTTAAGTTAAGAAAAGCTGGCTAGAAACAAGCCAAGCTAAGACCAGGCACTCATAAAAAAGAATAAGCCACCATATGATTTATTTGGGAGCTGGGTAGTAGACCCAACAAATAGCCAAAGAGTAAAAAAAAAAAAAATAGAACAAAAATGTTAAGCTAGGTAACTATATGGCACGATGAACAAGTGAAAACCAAAACAAACAAACAAACAAACAAACAAAAAAAACACTTGAGAACTTTAAATACAAAACACTTAAACACAGAGATGAGGTCATCAATATCAGAATCCAGAAGAGTGAGGATAAAGTTGCCATGTGCATTCAGAGCCCCCAGTAGCATATGATCAGAACTGAAGAAGCTGGAAAAGTAGAACAGCGAACAATATAAAATGAAAAATAAAATGACATAGATCAAGGAAGGTTATACATATAGTGCTTTTTAAAAGAACTACAGATTTAATAAAACCATGAGTTAGATTTTTAGTGAAACAACCATAAAAGCAATAAAATCACAACCATAAAAGAAATAAAATGAGAAACCTAATAATAAAGTATACAAAATACATAAAAGTCCATTAATGCAATACTAAAGCTTTTTTTTTAATTTAGAGGAGAAGATAAATTAACAAAACTAATTTTAAAAGATGGTTATATCTGATTCGAAAAAGTCATGAATTTATAAAATCATTGAACTATAAAATACACAAATGTACAGGAAGTCAATATTCATTGTTTACATTCCAAAATCTATGAATTCAAAAACATGGGCAAATATTTACTGAAATACACAAAACCATAGCACCTATTCCAGCTGGACTTCCCTAGTGAAAGCATATGAGTAAATACAAAAATATGAACCAATCACAAAATGAAAAAAAATCAATCTGTTCAATATAAAATACATTGACAGAAGATCGAGACATATTTGCCATAACCATATCAAAACCAGCAAATAACACAGACTTATATCACAGTCACAAAGCTCATGTGGAATCTTATAGTTTCTGTAACAGACATCTAAAGAAACTTAAGTCTGTAGATATAGTTCAAGATCTATGAAACAAATTCAAGCACAAAGTAAAAAAGATCAAGAATGTTAAAATGAGCCAAACTTGAATTTAAATTTATAAGCACAAGTGAAACATATAAGATCATTTTGTATTAAGAAAATGTTCAATGAACTATTCTGATAACATATAACAAAAGTATTGCACATATGAGGACAAATATATACAAGTAGAAGATACTGGTATTCTTTGTAATTCTTTTTTTTTTTTCATTTTTCTTTATTAAGAAATTTCCTACTCACTCCACATGCTATCCACAGACCCCCCCCCCCCCCCCCTTCCTAGGCCACCCCACATCCCCAAATCCCCCAAATCGAGGTCTCCCATGGGGAGTCAGTAGAGCCCAGCACACTGAGCCTAGGCAGGTCCAAGCCCCTTCCCACTGCACCAAGGCTGTGCAAGGTGTCACACCACAAGCACAGGATTCCAGAAGCCTACCCATAGACCAGGGACAGATCCCGATCTCCCTGCCTGGGTGCCCCCCAAACAGTTTGAGCCAAACAACCATCTTCTGTATCCAGAGGGCATAGTCCAGTCCCATGGGGCCTCCACAGCCACCAGTCCACAGTTCATGGGTTTCCACTAGTGTGGCCGGTCATCTATGCATGTCCTCCCATTATGATCTCGATGTCCCTCGCCTGCAGTATCTCTCCTCTCTCTTTCATCAATTGGATTCCCGGAGCTCAGCCTGGTGCCTGGCCGTGGATCTCTGTATCTGCCTCCATCTGTCACTGGACAAAGGCTCTATAATGACAGTTAGGTTATTTGCTAGGCTGGTCACCAGAGTAATTCTAATACTGGGTTTCTACTACAGAATTCTTGACTCCAACAAGTCATTCAAATCGTGTAGTGATGCCTTGGAATCCATGAGAGATTAGTTTCAAGGACCATACAGACACCGAAATCTGTGCATATCAAGCTCTGCAGTTGCTCAGGTCCCTCCCCCATATAAAGTGATGATTATACCCAAGCCATGTTCCTCTTCATACTTTAAATCATCTCTAGGGTATCTGTATACCCTAGGCAAATTACATGTAGTAGATATGTTATGCTTATGAAGAAAATGTCAGCATTGATTAAATGCCCATCATCCACCAAGTATTTTCTACAGTTTGTTTGATCTATGCATGT